AACGCCCTGGAATCCGCATCGCCTACAGGACGGACGACCACCTCCTCCATCAACGACGGATGCACTTCCAATCGTGCGTATCCACAATCATTGCTCACGAACTTCTGTTCGCCGACGACTGCGCCCTAAACACCACCTCGGAGGAGGGGATGCAACGGAGCATGGACCTATTGTCCGCCGCCTGCGAGAACTTCGGTCTGGTCATTAACACGCAGAAGACGGTGGAAATGCACCAAACGCCACCCAACTCGGCCACAGCCCCCAACGCGCCGCCGCAAATCAGCGTGAACGGAACCCAACTGCAGGTGGCGGAGAACTTCCCGTACCTGGATAGTACTCTCTCCCGCAACACCAAAATCGACGACGAAGTCGCCAACAGGATCTCAAAAGCCAGTCAAGCCTTCGGTCGCCTCCAAAGCACAGTTTGGAATCGTCATGGTCTTCAGCTGACCACGAAGCTAAAGATGTACAAGGCCGTCATCCTGCCGACACTACTGTATGAAGCGGAGACTTGGACGGTGTACGTAAAGCAGGCACGTCGTCTGAACCACTTCCACCTCAGTTGTCTTCGTCGCATCCTGAGGCTGAAGTGGCAGGATCGAATCCCCGACACGGATGTGCTGGAACGGACGGGAATCCTCAGCATCTACGCCATACTGAGGCAAATTCAGCTGCGCTGGAGCGGCCACCTGGTGCGCATGGACGACGAGCGACTACCCAAACGACTCTTATATGAGACGTCGCGACGGGTTCTCGCCGTCAAGGAGGCCAGATTCGCCGTTACAAGGATACCCTGAAGTCCTCCCTGACATGCCTGCAAATCAACCCCACCAACTGGGAGGACCTCGCACTCGATCGACCGACCTGGAGGAGGACAGTGAAGACAGGCGCTGCGATCTACGAAGCCAACCGCATCGCTGCCGCCAAAGCGAAACGTGAAGCCCGCAAATCACAACTTCGCCCAGTAAGCAACGCCGCCGCACAACCGCTTCCAACGTGTCTTCGATGTCAATGGGCTTTCCGGGCTCGAATCGGACTTGTTGGACATCTTCAGATTAACTGCGCCTCTCTAACGGCACCAACCATCGTCCCCCGCCTGCTTCTTCCTCCTCCTCTCCGCCGCCAACTAACCCTGACAATTCTTCTGACCCACTACTTCCATCATCCTCCTCCTCCTTCTCTTCCTCCTCTTCCTCCTCCTCTTCCTCCTCCTCCTCCTCCTCCTCCTCCTCCTCCTCTCGGCCCTCCCACTCATCCTCGTTCTTCTCCTCTCCACCACTTCCTCCTCGCCCCCTTCGCCCTCTCCCCTCCTCATCGCCCACTGCTCCAACGGCGGCCGTTCAGGCGACTGTACCGCGCACAGCAACCGACACTACCACCACCTCCTCCGACTCCAGGGATGAGGATCAGGACTACACCTGCCCTCACTGCGACCGTACCTTCACCTCACACATCGGCCTGGTCGGTCACTTGCGAATACATCGCACAGAGACTGGCGAACCAGTGAGTGAAGCACCAACCTACACCTACCGCACTCGCCTCCACTGCCCACACTGCCCTCGCACCTTCAGGCATCGCATGGGCCTTTTCGGCCACATGCGCATCCACGAGAGCGGCCTTGACCGCACTCCCCACACACCCACCACATCCAACACATCCACCGTGCACACCCCCACCCTCGTTCCATC